CGCCGCTGCCACCCGAGGCTGCGGAGGGGAGCGAGATCCGAGGCCCCGAGGCGGCCCTGCATCAGGACCAGGCACGCGGGGGCTGCCTCTGCACCCCCACCCGAGGGCCGCGGGGCCTGGCCTCGCCGTGGGGTGGAGGAGGTAAGGGCGAGTCGCGGGCGCGCTGCGGGACCGCTCCTGCGGGGAGGAGGCGGGGAGGACCCCGGCCGTCGCCTCCGCCTCTCCTTCCTGCTCCCCCACAGCCCTCTGGAGGCCCGGAGACTGCCAGACCCGACCGGGAGGGATTCTGGGCAGGCCAAGCCAAAGGCAAAGAAGGGGTTAATTTAAGGAATTAAAATCAGAACAATTTGAGACCAGGCTCCCCATCCCCCCCCCCAGCCAGTCTAGCCAGGTTGGGGGGCGGGGCGGGCTCCAGACCCCAATGGGGCTCTGGACCTTGGAGAACAGGGACCAGAGGGAAGGAGGGGGGAGCGCCCCCAAACCCCAGCCCTTCCTACCTGCTTCTGAAAGGGGTGGGGGAGGGGCTTGGTGTTGAGGCCTGGCTGGGCACCTGTGCGGGTGTCTGAGGGTGGGAGGGTTCAGGTGGCTGTGTGCGTGCTGGTGTGCACGTGTGATGGTCTGGAGGTGTGCATATGTGTGCCCCCATGTTTCTGTCTTCTCATATCCCAGTGCCTCCTCTGGTGACTGCCCATAGTGACCTGGACGCTTGTGCCCCACTGCAATGCTTTGCATGTGAGTGTGATACAGACCTGTGTGCACTTACCACTTTCTACCTGTGAGTAGGAGTGGGGCCTGCTCTCTCCTTAGGTTGACTGTGCAGCAAGGGCCCCAGATGGTTTTCTGGGTGTGGGATCCAGGTGCTGGAGCCATGTGTGTGTGACCTTGGGAGGCGTGTGCATGTTTGCAGGAGCTGGAGAATGAGGGGGAGCTTAGCACAGAAAAGGCAGGGTAAGGACTGCCAGGAAGCAGAGGCCTGGATGCATTGACTCCTGTGGGTCTTCATGAGGCTGTAGTGACTACTCTGGGAGGTACACATGGTGGGGCCGTAGCCTTAGCTGTAGAGAGCTACAGAGGGATTTAGAGAGTCAGGGGGCCTTCCTTTATTCCCCATCCACAAGGACGCGTCCAGCTGCCTCCCCATCCTTAGAATACCTCTTCCACCTGCTGGCAGATGAAAAAACTGAGCTTAGAGTTTCATTTCTTTGGCCTATGAAGCCATCTATTCACATCCAAGTCTTCCTCCTCCATTTCTGTAATTTCTACCTTCTCTGCTTCTTTCCTGCATGTGGGTTTTATATGAAAAGAGGGAGGAAGAGCTTTCGGGCCCTGAAGGCCAAGTGGGAAGGACAGGAGATGCCAGTGGCATGATAAGGAGTTGGGGGGAGGGGGAATGACCAAAGCTCTGCTAACGTCTCCGTTTTGCCTAATCTTCATTTAACAGAGAAAGGGACAGAGAGAAGGAGTTTGGTGATACTCACATACTTGTTTCTAGATTTAGGGATAACTAGCTTGTTTTTGTTTTTGGAATAGTTGTAGTGGGAAGGGGAGTCATGGTTGTTGAAAGGTTATTGCATTCTGCCTTTGAATTCCCTGGACTTTCCTACCTCTCCGGAAACATACTACACCCTTAATTTATTCATTCAACAAGTATTTATTGAGTGCTACTATGGGCCAACTTGCGACTATTATAGTATTGGTGCAACATTCCATTCCCAACCGGAAGGAACATAGTGTTGGGACACTACGAGCATGGGTTTCAAAGTCAGTTGGGCTTCAAATCCTGGCTTGTCACTTGTTTCAGTTATTCACTGGTATGTAACAAACCTTCCCAGAATGTAAGGGCTTAAAACAACAGTGATTTTTTAATTTCTCATGGTCTGTGGATTGGCTGTGACTGTGGGCTCACTTGGCACCTCTCAGCTACATTCAGTTAAGAGACTGGCTGGAAAGGAAGATCAAGATGGCCTTTCATCTGTTAGAGTCTCTCTGCACATAGCATCTAATCATTCAGTAGTCTAGCCCATGTTTTTTACATTGCAGCTGGATCCCAAGAGAAAGTATTCTAAGAAGATAAGCCCTAAGGTACAACTACTTATCAAATCTCTGCCTGCCTCAGGCTTGCTAGTGTCCTATTGGCCAAAGAAGTCATGTGGCCAAGCTCAGAGTCATGGGGGAGGGGACCACATAAGGGCTAGAATACTTCCACCGAGGCATGCTCATTGCAGGCCACCAAAGCAACAGTCTGTTACGGTCACTTACTGGCCTTGGGTAAGTGATTTGGCCACTCTGAGCCTCCATTTCCTCATCCTAAAGTGAAGACGATACCACCTACTTGGCAGCACTGCCTTGAGGACTAAATGAGAAGTGTGGTGTCTGACCAGAATAATTAGCAGGTAAATATTCACTGTTTTGATTATTAGACTGTAAGTACTGTGAAGGCATGACTGTCTTACTCATTTTTGTATCCCCAGTGCCTGGCACAGGCCTTGTGTTTAACATCTTTTTGTTGGGTGGATAAAATAGAATGAAGCAGGCAAGTCCTAAGCCTTGGAACTGTGCTTGAGCAGCAGTGTTGTGAAGACACAGCAAGTCCTTACCTCCCAGTAGGCGAGGAATAGAGCTAGCGAAGCACTTGTTATTCGAGGTGATCCTTGGATTGATTTAATTGTAACCAAATTCACCCAATTCCATGACAATAAGTAGTAGAAATGACTTTGGTTACATGAATCAATCAATTCATCCATTATTCAATGTGATTCCTCTAAGAACATACTGATTTCTACTGTGTTTGAAGCAGGTGTCAGTAGCATTGTCCCTGCCCTCCAATGTATGTATAAGGGCAGGATCTGTTGTGCAAACAGGTCCATGACCATCCAGCATGTGATACTTGTTAGGATATATGAAGAGCTGTGGTAAGGAATGACTCGTGTGATGTGATTTGAGCTGGAGCAGGGGATCAAGGAAGGTTTCATGAAAAGTAGCATTTGGTTAGGCCTGCAGAATTCATTAGTTGGAAAAGGGAGTCCCAAGAAGAGGGACCAGCATGAACCAAGACTTGAGGATGCAATGCACATGGCACTTCTCAGTGAAGTTAAGCCCCATAAGGCTCACTATGGATGCATGCGGGAAGCAGAGGCGAAAGCTAGGGCTGGCAAGACTGAGTGGTGGTCAGATTCCAACCAGCCTTGAGGGCAGGCAAAGAAGGGAGGGCTTTACCTTTCAGAAGATGGCCTGCCTTTAGGGATTTTTTTTTTTTTAAAGAAGAGTGACATGACTGGATCTCTATTTGCAGAAACCTTAAGAACTCAAAGCTGGAGGAATTAGTCCAGCCAGTGTTGCTCAGTGGTTGAGCATCAACCTATGGACCAGGCAGTCACGGTTCAATTCTCAGTAAGGGCACATGCCCTGGTTGCTGGCTCGATCCCCAGTAGGGGACATGCAGGAGGCAGCCGATTGATGATTCTCTCTCATTGTTGATGTTTCTATCTCTCTATCTCCCTTCCTCTCTCTGAAATCAATAAAAGCATAAAAAAAAATGTTTAGAGGCTTCAGTTAGAAACAGTATCAATGGTCCAGACAGAAGGGCTGGAGCAGTGGCTATAGAAAAAGCAAGATATAGAGAGTCAAATATTTATAAGATAGTATTGACAAAAAGCATCAATTGATGAGATCTGAAGGGGCCGTTGTGAATTCAGAGATGCTTTGGGGGCTATATCCAGGGTGCTGAGTCGATAATGAAGATGTTGGTCAAGGTGGGAAACACGAAATAGAAGTAGGTTTGATGCTGAGTATTGTGAGTTCACTATTAGCATATTATGCTTTGAGCCACCTAACATTGAAATATCCTTTTCAGCCTCTCGCTCTCTACTTGCTGCATCTAAGCACTTTTTAAAAAAGAATTGCTATAAATTTCAGGTCTAAAGCATTGAATTATCGGTGCCTCGGGCTGGCGGAAGTGATGGTATAGGTTAGAATTAGGTTATCTCTAAGAAGCATTTAATATGTTCAGAGGGTTTCTCATCTTAACTGCTGCTTCTGGTTCTCCCCTCCTCCCCTTCACAGTTGAGCTTCTTGTGTCCACTCACTGTCTCTACTCACATCTTTACATCTGTCTCCTCAACCCACACCAGCCAGGCTCATCAAATCAGCCCTCTCTAAAGTCACCAGTGGACCTTTCCCACCTCTGCTCTGACTTGCGTCGTCACTCCTGATGTTCGCGCTGTTTTTCACACTATTGCCTACTCTTTCCTTCCTTGACATCCTCTCGTCTCTGAAGTTTCCCTCCAGAATTCCCATTTTTGCTGCTGGTTCTTAGGAACTTCAGGATTCTTCTCTCTTCTCTGCCTCTCCAAGGGTCTACCTTTCCCCCTTGCTCTGCTCTCTCTGCACCCTCTCCCTGGTCCCACTCATCCACCTTTGTTTTTATGCTCAAGTTGCCAAAACTGTATTTTTGGCTCCCTATTGCAAACTACTGAATGTGTCTACTTCCAAGGCCCACTGGAGCCTCAGACTCATGGAATCTACAATCAAACCCATTATCTCTCCCCAAAACCCTCTGAACTCCATCCACATCTATCTAGATGCTCAAAACCCAAACCTGATCCTGATCCTTGACTCTTCCCTTTTGAACCAGCCGCAATCATTCTGTCACCAAACCTTCTTGAGTCTCCTTCCTTAATTGCTTCTACATCCACCCTTCTCCCCACTCGCACTCCTCCTACCTTGGCTAACAGTTTCCACTTCCAGTGTTCCCACAGCCTTTTCCTAGACCTTGGCCCTCTGTAGTCCATTCTCTAAACTGCACCTCTAATTAAGTCCACAAACACTGAGCACCTCCCCCGTGCGGGGCACTGTTTTAAGAGCTGGGGAAGAAGCAGTAATTGAGACAATGTTTCTACCCTCATGGAGCTTACATTTTCCTTCCCTGAAGGAGGCATACTCTCTCACATCCTTGCCTTTGTACATGCTGTTTCTGCTGCTCAGGATGCCTTTCTTCCCCTCCCCAAACTCATAACTGCCATTCCTCATGTGACTACTTTCCTCTTCAAGAGTCGGTCTGGATGCTATTACCTCTGGGAGTTTCTCAGGCTAAGTTAAGTGTAGATTCCCGTGCCAGCCATTTGTCTCATGGCTGTCTCATCTAATACCTTTGTCTGTCCCAGGAGATCACAAGCTGCTTGAAGGCAAGGACTGGATCTTGTCAGTCTGTGTCCTCAACATACGAGCACAACGCCTAGCATTGTTCATGGGACAGAGCAGGTAAATGTACGTTGAATGAATCCATGTTTGAATAGAGCTTGGGAGAGAATTCTAGGTTAGAAATAGAGATTTGCGAGAGTATCAGGACTTTTGATAGCAAGTGACAGAAATCCAACTCAGACTATTTTAAGCAAAAAAAAAAAAAAAAGATACGTACCAATTTATATAACTGGAAAGAAGAGGAATGAGTGCGTCTTAGGCATAACTGTACCCAGGTTTTCAGAAAGGAAGTAAGGACTCTCTGCAGCTCTTGGCTCAGCTTCACTCTGAGTGAGTGTTGCTGCATTTCCTCCCACCATGCTTAAGTTTTCTCCATGTGGTGGGTGGAGATTTCACAAGGCCATAGACAGCTTTATCATCCCAGCATGTGATCCAAAGGGACAAGAGGACTCCTTAACCTTTCATATAAATTCCCAGGAAGGACTTTGTTGGCTCACCTTGAGGCATGTGCCCATACCTGGGTTAATCATTATGGCCAAAAAGATGGGGGTACTATGATTGGCCAGGCCTGGGTCATATTCCCACCTTGCTAGGATTGGTAGCCCTGTCAGAACCACATGGAGTGGGGAGTGGTAGCTCACCAAAGAAAGGACAAGATGTTGCTATTGAAGAAGATCTGCCAAGCAGATACAAACAATAATGTTCCTCAGGAATCCTCAGTGACCATGTGGTAGTAGAACCATGAAAATGCAAGATTATCTGTGTCTCTGGCAGAGTCAACATGTGAGAATGTGACAGTGGAAAGGAGGCAGAAAAGACACATATTTTGAGATGGTTGGTCTTGTCTGAGATGAGGCTCACATACCTGAAAGTCTTAAAAAAAAAAAAAAAAAAAGATAATGCATTCTGATAGGTTCTACTCAAAGAAAACCTTGAAATGGACTTAAATGAGAGTAGACTTGAGATAGGCATCTCAGATGGAGGAAGGAGCATACATGTCGTGGGGATGCTGAGGAGCCAGAGCTAAACTGAAAAAAGTAGGTTCTTAGGGCCACAGAGATTGCTGATGTGAGGAGACTAGAATACAAAGGAAAACCTCTGACTGTTCTGCCACGGTGCTTATAGTACACAATTGTGATGGAATTTGAATAGATAACACTTCTATTTTTCTTTTCCTCCCCCTCATCCCCCTGCCTTCATCACCTTCATGCCTGAATCCAGGCAGTTTCATGCTCCTACTGAGGATGTGTATACATCTAGGCAAAAATATTCCTAAGAATCATTCATAGTTATTCCTCAGCTGCATGGAGGGAAACTCTGGGGAAGGCTGGCCTCAGGCGAAGAGTCACATGGACCCAGAAGCCCCTTCCTTCCTCTGCCGCACACAGGTCTGCACCCCCGCACTCTCCCTTCCCCTATTCCAGCAGGGTGCTGTGCAGGCAAAGGGTACTTCAGAATTACCTGGGGAAGGGAGGAAGGCTGGCTACTCTGAGACCCTGAAAGATGCCCCCACAGGAAGGAGCAGCACTTAGCTGGATGGACAAGCACACACAGGTTTCCTGACACCGTGCTGACCATACATTACAGAATAACTCTGTTTCTGAACAGTTGTGTGTATGTGAACTGCATTCTATTTATAATATCCCTGGTCACTTTGCCAGCTTCTTCAGTTTTCTGTATAGTTATTAATCTGTTCAGGCTTTCTATTTCTTCTTGAGTCAATTTTTATAATTTATATTTTCCTAGAAAGGCATTCAGTTCATCCTGATTTTCAAAAATTTAGGCCAAGAGTTGTACCTGGTAGCATTTCAGGAATTTGAAAAAAACCTTCTCTGTCAGTTATATCCCTTTTCTCATTATAGTGGTATGTATTCGTTTTCTTTCATTTTTCTCTTTGAATAGAATTACCAAGGACTATTTATTTTCTTGGTCTTTTCAGAGGAACAGCTTTTGTATTTACCTCTCAAGGTTACTTTTGGGATTTTTATATAGCTAAAAGAAGGTGATGTTAGAACAATTGTTAAATACTAGTTTTTTAAAAAATTTAAGTACTGTCTTATACAGATTAAGGTATTTTGGAGTGAAATAATATGATAATCTAGGATTCTCTCAAAATTATCCAGTGGCAGGTGGGACAAATGTGAAGCACGGGAGGGGTGTACACATGAAACATAATTGGCCATGAGTTAATAGT